GATTTTGAAAATTGGTCATCCTAATCCTTAGACTTATCATATCAAAAGTACATTAAAAAATTTAATTGAGAGGATTCTTATACGGAAATGTCACATCAATCAATTATATGAAAGATCTCTTAGGTAAAATGATGGTAGGTAAGCATAGGATAAATGTATTGTAGTAGGTTATAGTACCTCATCTCAAACATAGAGGCTATTGGAAGTTCAACCTCTACATGTCCCTTTTGTTAAAATACTTAGCTCACTTCGACTTCCTTTGTTGATCGCCTCGATTTGGTCAAGCAAGCAAATTGATGTGTAGTGCAGGCCTTAGGTGGCTTCTTGCTATTTCTTAGCTGACTTTCACTTGGAGCCTCGTAGGATGAAACAAAACAATAAACATCAGAGCCTAAATTATAACTAACATTCCATTTCGAAAGCATTGCACAACTAACTAAGTTACGAGAACAATGAACATATAGAAGGCCTTAAGTGGCAACCCCCAATTGGCCTTGTGCACATCACTTGGATCGTTTATTCTCCATCAATGGTTGGGATCAAATATCTGATTTTAAGGCGGGAAGTAGTCTATCAGTTGAGATAATTTCCGACCTTTTGGTTTCTCATGAGTTCGTCTTTTTCTTTCTGAAGTTTGATTCTTCTAGTTCTTCTTATTCTTTTTTCTGCCCTTAGTCTGTATTGTTGTTAAATTACTATTACAACCCTATGAAAATCAACTTGCTACAGTGTTTTAGGCCATGCTATTTTGGTTCGTAAATTTGTAGACATTCAGGTTGGAGGGTTTGGTGTTCTTGATATAGATTAGTATGGTATTTGTGAAGATCTTGTAGATCTGTGTTGAAGAAGTGTTCTGACTTGGGTTGTCCATACTTGCACTAGTGACAGGCTTTTACCTCTGAACCCCCAGATTAAGCTTGAACGCGTTGGGTAAATATTTGATCATGTTTTTCTTACTATTGTGCGTGTTTGATTTTGATGTTTTTGTCATTGTTTTGTTATTTTGGTATAATAACCTAACAAATTTGGTATTAGAGACTTTTACATGTTCTAGGTAAAAAAAGTCTTTTTTAAACTCTTGTAAAACCCTGTGATCTATTTTGATACGTTGATGATCCACATAGACATGTATTTTTTGTGGTATCTTGAAATTGCGATGGTAAGTTGGAAGTCGAATCGTGCTATCCTATGACATTTGGCTGATTGAGTGGCATTGGTTTTCAGTTGCAGGTTCTGTGATTGATATTGTTTTTACAACAATTTCTAGGTAAGATCGTTCTGGATCTTTGATTGAATATTGTTCTACAGTACATATACTTTCTATGATTGATGCATGTATATCAGTCTTGTATTTCATGCCACTTGTTGTAACTATATCGGGTATTCATTGTTAAAGCCTAAATATGCATTTATCATTCCCACATCAGTTTTCTTTAGTTGCAAAAGTTCCAAAAACTTTTCTGCTATTATATGGTCTTGAATTGAAGATCACTCATGTCCCCAAGTGACAGCTACCCTTTTATAGAACCGTAATGTGTTCGAGGGTCGAATTATCACAATTCGATGAAAATGGGATTACTCTATATGGAAGCCGAAAATGAGGACCATTTTGGTCCACTAAAAGGTTGCAAAAGACCTGGATGATCCTAAAACCTTTTCTGCTGAACTTAAAGCAAAACCTGATGAAATTGCATATAGTTTTATAATTTTGCATTTATTTGATGACATTGTAAGACAAGTTGATGAAGCCAAACTGAAACGCCCCGAGTTTCTTGAACCCGGATTGCCACGTCATCTTTATTTGTAACTGAATTAACTAAAGAGATTTGCGAAAAATAACTAAATTTTAAACATCACATTTATAACGGTAAAACAT